AGAGAGATTGATGCCATGGTTGAAGCACTGGGTAATATCATATGCAAGCATATAGATCGTCTTCTCAAAGAGGCCCGTGCCTCCAACACAGCGATCATAGACTGCACATCATAACTCATGAAAGAGGGTGACCTCCTCAGAAGCGAAATCTACAATAGCATCTCCAAACTGAAGTGGTCGACAGAGATTGACTTTAATCACGCCTCAGAGCTTGCAAATGAGGCAATTGAGAAGATGAAGAAAGCGGCCACCAAGATATTACAGAGGTTGGAGAAGGCTCCCCTGGATACATGCAAGGCAGAAGCCAAAAAGAACCATGACGATCAAGAAGGTGATGATCATGATCGTCATGAGGGGAGAAGAAGGATGAGAAGAAAACACCAGAGCCAAAGAAGACCCATGCCAGAGGCGTCAACATTGTGGACTCTACAGTTGCCTTGTTCTCTAAAGGAAAAGAAAAGGCTCTAGAGCCTAAAGGCAAAGGTAAAGGCAAAGCTGTAGAGTCACCACAGAAGGGGTCGTCGTCTAGCACAGAGACTCCACAGGCAATTAATGAAGAGGAATACAGAGATGACCCAGCGCTTCTTGAAGCTTTAAAGGCATCCCTGGAAGAGGCTCTAGCAAAGAAGGGCAGAATCCCTCACAGAGCAGGAGAAGGCTCTTCATCACAACTCCCACCAGTCCAAGAAACGTCCACGGGTATGTTTGACGCTCTGCAAGGAACCGTCAAACCCATCCTTACAGAGGGGTCAACCAGAGGCCAATTCTGGAAGAAGAAGAAGCCAAGGTGCCAGAGTCCACCACGGTAGGAAGGGTGTCTGAAATATTGGAATCTATGAGCAAGATTCCAATGCCAAAAGTCAAAACAGAGCCCATTACTACTTTGGAAAAAATTCAAGTGTGGAGGTACTCTGCAGTAGACATAGAACCTCCCTATGATCCAGAGCTCACAGGGATCCCTTCTGCCGCCGCCAAGTTCCAGTTCTCTAAGCTCACAAGRCCTCGTGAGCAAGTCTTCTCAGAGCACATGATCACTTCCCTAGAGACAATTTCTCCAAGGACTATGCTAAAGAAGAAGGTGCTCTATGCTCAGTATGTAGTAAGAAGGGAAGATGGCAACCTTTATACATTCACAGACACTGACCTCCACAACCTTTGCGTGTTTAATGTTATCTACATGCACAAAATTCTCAACATCTACATGGAGAGGATGTCAAGCAACTCAATATCGCTCAGAAGGCTGCTTGAGGTCATGCGCGCACAGGTAAGATATTACAGCCAGAAGGACTTCGAGCTCGCCGTAAGGTTAGTCCAAAAAGATCTAAAGATCTCCCCTCCTTACAGCAGGCCTGGTTGGATACTTAGGTATCATCCAAACTCCATTATACACAACCCTACTTTTGGGTTTGTGTATTTGGATAAGGATGAAATCCTAAGGTTCTATGATCCAACAGAATCACACAAGTACTCAACAGAGACGCTAGAATGGATATTCAGAGAAGCGACAGAAGTGGACAGAGGACATCTAAGGATGAGCGAAGTGTCTCGCATCTTGGAGGCGATCAATATGCAAATCAACTTCAGAGAATGGATCTTCAATGTTTACAGAATGATCAAGTCTGACATGTTATAGCAGTAGACGACTTTCCAGAATCCGTAGTTTGATAAACCTTCTGTACCAGTTTTTGGCCAATGTTTCATAATTTTGTAATTTCTCTTATTTCTTGTAATTCCTTTCAGAGGATGAACATTTATCTCCTCTTGTAATTTTCTTTCAATTAAGTCATTTCTTGCATTTAAATTTCCAATTTTACTTTTTCATACTTAGGGGGAGATTGTTAGCTCTCATTCATTTAATGTAAAAGTATGGAAAAAGTAAATACTGCAAGTGTTGACAGAAGAGGTTCCATCACAGAAGACCACAGAGGACCAACAACAAAAGATGTTCAATCGTACAAGTGAAGTGTGACAGAACCTCTGTTGTCTATCACAGAGGTTCTGGAAACTGGTCCTTTGTAATCAAAGCTTACAAGTCAAAGATGACATAACCTTTGTTATCTATCACAGAGGTTCTGGAAGATGATCCTCTGGAATCAAGTGGTCTCAAGTCACATCCAGCAAAGCCTCTGGGATGACTCACAGAGGGTCTGCAACTTTATCTTCTGTGAAGAACTTCTTTACTGTTTTACTTAGGTTTATTAGCTGCTCGTGCTTATCACGTGACTGTTAGTAATCTGCTTTATTTGAACAGCTTAGATGAATTTGTACGTCTAGGTCATGTCAGAAAAGCCATTAGTAACGAGTATAAATAGCAGCGTAGGCCTTTGTAATTCAGTGTGCTTCCATATTGTATTGTAAACATTTTCAATCAATTAAAAATCATTTGAAGCTTCTCTCTCATGTACTTCATTAAATTGTGTTCTTCATTGATTATTACTCTGTTTGCTCTTATTTCTTCCGCTGCACTAATATTGTTAAATAGATCATCCAGAGTAAGTGATTAATATCCAAAACAGAGTTAATCGATCATATCAGATGTTCTATTCTTAGCCCCGATTGCTTAATAAAACCTTTTGAGATAGTTATTAGGATCAATTTGATGCTAACATGTGAGTACCATGAACTCTGCTTAACTTAACGCCTACGCGTAGATCTGACAAAATCAAGGTTCAAAAATTCGATTGACTCCAAGAAACTCCATCAAATAGACCAAAAAAAATATTTATGATCAAAATAGGTTCGTATGCATCCAAGAAAAAATCCCATAAAAGGAATTTGATTAAAACATTTAATCATATGATGRAWTGATGAATTTTTGGGTCCAAACTGCAGTCGAACAGGAAGCAGTTCATGAAAGAGTATTGTTCAAGAAAATTGAATCTACTGTAGAAAGATCGAATCGATAGAAGTTAATTGATTTGGCTCTGATACCAATTGTTAAGCCCAAATCTGACAGTAGAGTAATATAAAGGAATTTAAAAAGAGATTTGTAGAAGAAGATGAATAGAAATCGGCCGCCGCTTTCTTTATTGAATGGAAAATACAATCTCTCAAAAACCCTAAYCGACTCTCATGTGATGTGTTTGAATCTGTGTGTTACAAAGTGTTGATAATTCATCTCTCTTCTATTCTATGCATGTATCACTTCTTATATAGGCGATATTTACGTGATAACTGAATCCTATAAATAAGGTAACTAAATCTTATAAACAAGGAAATAATCATTATCAAATATGGGATCAGCATCATCCTTCAAGATTCTGAAGATAGTCGTGCAGAGCATAGACCAACCAGAGGATAGACCAACCAGAGGATAGACCAACCA